CCCCGTCCCCGTATTAATCCGCTGCCTCGCACGTGGGCCGGATCCTGCACCCAGCCCAGCTCTAATCCCTCCTGAGCCTCCTGGCCCTGGGGTGTCGGGGGGGTGTCCCTGCACCCCAGCTTGTGGAGGGGACTGCCCCCCTTCTCGACATCCCAGATCGTGGCTGTGAGCAGCCAGGATGTCCCCACGTCAGTCTGTCTGTCCCCAGCCCCGAGGTGCTGGGAAGAGGAGGGCTGGATCTGGGCAGGAGCAGGTTCCCGGGGTGGGGATCAATGTGTCCCCCAGCTGTGGGAAGGAAGTGGCAGGGGCAGAGGTGCCACCCATGTCCCCCCTGTGATTATGGCCATGGCCACCAAAATAACCCATCCGGACAGGCTCCACAGGGGCCTGGCTGGGCAGCTGAGGACCTCCCACGGCCACTGAGAACCTGGTTGGGCGGGTGGAGAAGGACATCCCACGGGCTGCAGCCAGCCCGTTGGGTGGACAGAGAGGACCTCCCACAGGCCATAAAGCACCCGGCTGGGCGGCCAGAGAGGCCCTCCGATGGCCGGAGAGCCAGATGGGACCTCCCATGGGCCACAGAGCAGCTCATTGGTTGGACAGAGAGGACCTGCTATGGGCCAGAGATGGATGGGACCTCCCATGGGCCATAGAGCAGCTCTAGGTGGACAGAGAGGCCCTCACCCATGTGCAGGGCTCCCCGGGGTGCGCGCCTCACCAGCTCATCCAGGTTCTTCAGGTCACAGAGGGCGATGGGCCGGGCCCTGCCGGGGTAGGCGGGCGCCTGGGGGTCCTGGTGCTCCTGGCGCGTGCCCAGTGCCCCGTAGGCCGTTTGGTCCCTCAGTTCCTCCTCAATCTCCTCCTCCATCTGGATCAGCATGGGGGCCAACATGCCAAACTTGGAGCCCCTCCTGGCCACCTCCAGCAAGCAGAGGACAAAATTCTTCTCGTTCTTCTTCAGCACCAGGTCATTGGTCTCGAACATGAGGACATCCTGGATGCCTAGGTCCTGCCGGCACCACTGGATGAAGTTGGAGACGTTATCCCGGGCGATGAAGGAACCGGGCACCACGTTCTTGGCCTGGAAGACGACCTCATTCCGGGGGACTCGCATAGGGGCAGCCACCTCGGGATGCCGCTGCTGGAAGTCCAGGGCGATGCGGTTGACGTTGTTGGCATGCCGGCAGAGGTGACAGCCGGTCTCCAGGCTCTCCAGGAAGGTGTCCACCTGGATGTCCAGATCGTAGAGGGTGTTGAACCACTCGGCCAGATCCTCCTTCATGGCCTCCAGGTACTCCTCGCTGGAGCGGAAGGGGCGGATGCTCTTGGAGGCGGCCGACTGGATGTGGCTGGGGTGGGCCATAGCGGGCCACCTGCTGGGGGGGCAACGGGCACTGTTACAGGGAGGGTGGGGGGCAGGGGAGACACACCCCCACACACCCCCTGCAAC